TCCGACAGTATGAAGAAAAATATACTGAAAAAAACAAACAAAAATCCTAATATGCGATTATGCTGTTTTAATGTTTAATGTCAACGTCGGACGTTTCGGTCTAATAAATCATCTTATAGGGCATATTCATAAACATAATTAACATAGACCATATTCTATTCAACATGAAAAAGACGATGGACATAAAAGCAATACCAGACGTTATCTGTTAAACATTAAAACATTAATCGCATATTAGGATTTTTGTTGTTTTTTTTATTTTTTTTCATATATATATATGTTTCAATGAATAATACAGACATATTGTTTCTACTTATTTCAATTTCACAATACAGGAAAATACTTGTTGACAATACCAACACGAAAATAATTTTAAAAAAAAATTTCTTGTCCCTCTATTTGAAAATCAACCCACCAACATTTAAAAAACATTGATTACGAATATAGCAACAACATATTAAAGCGCTTATGACATTTTATGACATTTTACATTTCTACCAATTTCTGGTCACCTCCGTTAAATTGAAACGCTTGTGTAGCAAAAAAATTCCATAGCTACAACGGATAAATTTAAAATTTTAAAATAACTGGACTAGAGCGTCTTCGCGCGTGTCTTCATAAAAAAAACCATTACAACGAAATGCAGTTTTTATCTGAGTCACAAGAGCAATTTGTCATTGAAATTTACCCCCTGAAGATGATCTTTGTAAAGGTTCAAAGGACATTGAAAAAGTAAATATCGCCGGAAATATGGCGCCTATAACAGCAACTATCTCGCTCACTTAAACAACGGCAGCTGTTGCAATAAATTGAGATAAACACTAAAATAGGAGCCCACTTACAACAGTTAAAACATTTCAAAGAAGAAAATAGGAACTCTTCTTGAATAAAGGTTAAAAAGTAGCTGTTCACGAAAGGAAACCATTCTTATGGTAATATATTCGATTTGTATAATTAATGTTCGCCGGGTCTTTGATGCATGTGTAACATATTGAAACGTAACTCACATGTTTGGGAATTTCTATCGATATTTTAATAATTTATTCAACTACAGACTATATGCTTTCCTCTAATACCTTAAACACAAAAGGCCTGCGATGGTTGCAATATATATATATATATATATATATATATATATATATATATATATATATATATATATATATATATATATATATATATATATATATATATATATATATATATATATATATCAGAAAGGCACAAGAATGTTAGGCAAAATAACAAGGGCATATGAATAGAATCCAGACAAAGGTTCATCTTTTATAAACTCATCCCATGCTATGGCACGCGTGCCACGCCAAATAATTTCCAATGGCACGCAGCCGCAAATGACATCGCGAAGTCCAAACCAATAACTACTACTACGCAAAGAAAACATTTAGCTGTCTCAATTTTAATATATACTAAAGTATGACGTCACACATTATGAAATGGACAAAGTCCGATAATTATTTTAAGACATTTTTATGTTTATACATTCTTTTTATAGGATTCGAACCCGTATCCTATACGGAACCGTCATTTAGCTTGACGTGCCTTTAACCGATTTGGCCACAGAGGAGCGTTCGGTTAGCCAGGTCGAATTTACAGTATTTGAACTTCAATCTTCTATGAATCTCTCACGTATATTCATATCTGCTCATGGCGTATCAAATGTAAACAAATGACGTCACACATTATGAAATGGACGAAGTCCGACAAATTCAATCCCGTAAATGTTGTTTAATACTGTTTATTATAAACAGAGAATTTACTTAAATATTTGTATCAATAAAAAGAATGCGTAAACATAAAAATGTCTTAAAATAATTGTCGGATTTTGTCCATTTCATAACGTATGACGTCATTTGTTAACATTTGATACGCCATGAGCAGATATGAATGTACGTGAGAGATTCATAGAAGATTGAAGTTCAAATACAGTAAATTCGGCCTTGCTAACCGAACGCTCCTCTGTGGCCAAATCGGTTAAAGGCACGTCAAGCTAAATGACGGTTCCGCATAGGATACAGGTTCGAATCCTGTCGGAGGACGAAAATTTTCAGGCCGGTAAATGTTGTTTAATACTGTTTATTATAAACAGAGTATTTACTTAAATATTTCTATCTATAAAAAGAATGTATAAACATAAAAATGTCTTAAAATACTAAAGTATATATACTATATATTACTATATAAATTATATTGTAGAACAGGTATATTGACCTTGACTTGTATAAAAGTACGTATGCTCATGGCACACTGAATGATTTTAAAACTCTATTCGGCACATAGCAAAAGGTTGACGATCCCTGGCATAGAATAACATCACATCATATATGGCATATGAATAGAATCCTGCAAAGGTGTCTCCTTTACAAATAAAGATAAACCCGACCAACATTTGCATATACATTCAAGCATAGATTCAAATAAGGTTTGCGTATAGACTTAAGTACAAAACTGACATTTACAAGAATATACAGTGTTGTTCGATAAAAGTGACTCACCTGATTTTTTTTTACTAAATGTTCTCTTCTCCGATGAAACGAAAGTTGAGCTAAATTCAAAGGATAAGCAATCTAAAATCCGAAGAAGAAGCTTTGAAAGCTCTTTGAATTTAGCAGTAAGTACTGTCAAGCATCCGTTCAGTATAATGTTCTGGGGATGCTTTCCTTTTCATGGAACTAGTTTCTTAAAACCTATTGAAAAGACCCTCAGGAGCGAGCAGTACAAGAGAATTTTAGTCTTGTCTGCTCTCTTCTGCTGAAAGGGTGCAAATCGACCCCACCAAGCTCATTTTTATGCAGGATAATGTTCCCTGTCACAAATCAAAATTGATGAAGGAATACTTTGATGAGAAGCGGGTGAATGTTATGACATGGGTGCCCCAATCGCCTGACCTCAACCATATAGAAAACTTACGGAGCATGTTGCTTAACTGCTTTCTCGAGAGCCTGTACTTTATAATGCTCCATAAGTTTTCTATGGGGTTTAGTTCAGGAGATTGGGGCGGCCATGTCATAACACTCAAATTACAGAAGCGACAAATATTTACGCACAGTCTCGGACCTAAACTTGATCAACTTTTGCGTAATGTCGTCAGCCTAAAATGGATCAAAGTTTGACAATATCCTGAAACATGTATTTGCTTCAGTATCTGTCTATATTTCTGAGATGAGGTATTATGTACAAGGACTCATGGAACAGTGAATAAAGGCGTTGGTTAGATCCAGTGACAGGACCCTGAGAGTGCTCGTTCAATACTCGGTTAAGGCAGTGAAGAACTTAGAGAGGGGAATTAACAGGAGATAACTGATAACTGACATCCATGGCACGTGGAACTAGAACAGTCTATCCCAGTGAGCGAAATAAATGGTCCAGTCCGACATTCCAACCACCTGAAGAAGGCCGGAGTATACAACGGCCGAAACGTTGTAATAAATATGGCGACAAACATGAGGACACTAGTCCAGATAATGTAAATAGTGTACATAATACCTCATCTCAGAAATATAGAGAGATACTGAAGAAGGCCGGAGCCTAAAACGGCCGAAACGTTGTAATAAATATGGTGACAAAGATGAGCACAATAGTCCGAATAATATAAATAGTGTACATAATACCTCATCTCAGAAATATAGACAGATACGGCAGTAAACATAAAAGTCTCGCAGACGTTAGGCTTCTGAGAGTTTGCTCCGGAGAAATTAGTATTATTGGATTCAGCGGCTTGGTATATTAAATTGTTCTGCAATTGCTTGCAGAACTATGTAATATACCAAGCTACTGTAAAATCAGGCAGATAAAGAAGAAAAATATTCATAAGAGTAACTGAAAGACCCTGGAAACAAAGAAGATGCGCACACAAAACATTTTTTCACACTCAGTATATACGCGAACAGCACACTGCTTTCTAAAAATATGCGGAGGATTAAAAAAAATAATACCAAAAAATATCATCGAAAATATAGAAAACAGCAATAATAGATAATAAATCGAAACTCTGTAAACCCTGCCGGGAGGAAAAATAGCTATAATTACTTTCCTAACACAAACTACTAAGTAAAAGATCAGGACGCATCTCAAAATGTAGAAACGAAAATATTATTACCAAGTTACATAAAAATCGAAAAATAGAAACGAAAATAAATAAATAAAATAAAAGAAACAAAACTAAGTAAAATAAATTTATTCAAAGAAATAAATGATTAAAACAAATAAATAACAAACAAAGTACCAAACCACGAACGCACACATAATGACAAGTAAACATAATAACAACCAGCAATAAAACAATCAATATTAAATTAAAATGTTATCTACCAACACTATAAATATCCAAAAGCTGCATTCGGATCCACAATTATTCCCACTCAAAAGCCCCTAGAATAATTCGAAAACCCAACCATCACCGCCCACCAAAATAACCGTCGGAATAATACAATAGACTACCCACAATGCAATACAATAGACTACCCACAATGCAATACAATAGACTACCCACAATGCATCTGTATATATAAATAGTCTAGCAAAAACACAACACACATGGCCTGACGATTACCTTTAGCATGAATAAAACTGTCGCCTCCGGGTGTTGAATTCAATGTCCAATTTTATATTTACGTACACTTTATCCCTAATACTGACAAAAGTTGCTTATTTCATATGCATATGCACACAATGAAAGTAGAAGAGAAAAAAATGAACCTTCCGGCAATGAAAAGTGCAGAAATTATTTTTAACACAATATGAAAGTGACGAAAAAGGAGAAAATAAACAATTTCTGGTATCTCCTAACGAGTGGACGGAGCGATTGCTGGCGGGTGGGTCTAGGGTTGAGATACTGAAAATAACATCAATAATATTTTATATTTGTATTAATCATATTAAAGCTCTATCTCTGATATTGAGCACTGTATTGCAAAGACGGCTTGCCTTAAATGTATTTTGTTCCAGAGTTCCATGACTGACGGCATTTCTGGCATTACACTATGGTCCTTCTCTCTCTCTCTCTCTCTCTCTCTCTCTCTCTCTCTATCTATCTATCTATCTATCTATATCTATATACATATATTCAGTTGTTTGAATATTAGTTTGTCACCCTGGGTTTCACGCTTTTGGGATTATTAGGAAAACTGGTTTATTTTTAAAAAATGGATCTATTTATACTTCTTTGTGCTTGATTATGCTTTAGGGAGGGAAATTTTCTTGCGTGTTTCTTTGGAATGACACTGTCACATGCATAAACATACATATATGGGGTGTTTGCATTTTAGCTCACTAAAAGGAAAAATGCACACACCTGTTAGCTCTATAACTGATACAGAGGAGGACTTTCCACTAAGTTCTGCGCATAAATATATATATATATATATATATATATATATATATATATATATATATATATATATGTGTGTGTGTGTGTGTGTGTGTGTGTGTGTGTGTGTGTGTGTGTGTGTGTCCGGTGTTTAGTGGAAAGTACTCAATATCTGTGATAGAGCTAATATACTCAGTGGCATGTATATTAGTTTGCACCCTGGATTTTATCTCTGATGATCGCAAAAGCGTGAAACCCGGTGTTACAAACTAATATTCATGTAACTGAATATATATATATATATATATATATATATATATATATATATATATATGTAATCAGGTAATTAATCCGTTGGCATATAATCCAAATGGATGCTAATAATTTTAAATTATTAAAACTGGTCCCCAAATAGTGCTCAATGTATTTATTATAGCAGAGCATATAAATTACATAAAACAATTCAAAATTACCCTATGAGTATATACTATTTCAACTAACGTCAATGCGCTTGCATTTTTTGACTCAAATGGTTTGCTGACACAGTGTTAGAAACTAAAAATTAAAGATTTAAAAATTTGTCTCCATTTTTTTTAAATTTAAAAATTTGTCTTCATTTTTTTAAATTTAAAAATTTGTCTCTTTGTTAAAATTTTTAATTTTAATTTACTAACACTTTATTAGCCCACCATTTGATTCGAAATAAACTAGGTGATTGACGTTATTTGAAATAGTCTATAGTCATGAGGTAATTTTGGATTTCTCTGTTATGTAATATATGTATATATATTATATACATCCACCTGAAAAAATATTTCGGTTGAGCTCCCGGGGAAAAAGCGAATTTGTAAACAGTGACTATTACTGCTGTTGTTGCAAGACTCTTCGTTAAGACAAATCGACTTCTGTCATTCACTGGCATGTTTATCTAAAAATAAATTCACCTTCATCTCTACCGTGCGCCAATGGCTCAAAGGTAAAGTCTCCGACTGATACCACATCAGTCTGCTTTCGATCCCGGCTTGAGGTAATCGGATGTCTAGCCATAGTGATGAGCTACGAAACAGTCTGTCTATGGAAGACAATATAGAAATAGATAGATGCATAAAGAGATTTTTATTTCATTTCATGTGAAGACTGCAGATTTTGAAAGAACTAGAATAAACAGATTGCTAGGAATGGTAAGAATATTGTGTATGCGAAACGTCTAAGCAAGAAGTAATTTAAACTTAAATCCTTTTGAATAATTGGCTTAGCCCAAGCTAAAAGATGGCATTCCACCTCGCTTGCAGCAGTCAAGCAGGCCAAGAGATGCTGGCAAATAAATAGACGTAGAAACTGACTGATTAATAAGTTACTGACATAAATTTCCTCGTCTAGCGGCGAGCGAAATTGGTGAAAAGGGTTTCTGTATCGTTAACTTAGCGTAAGTGAAAAATATTAAGACTGTCTTTTACTTGGTCTGAAACCCACGCCGCTATCATCGAAAAGAAATACACAACACCAGTGGCCATGAACCAGTCGAAAATAGATCGATACAATAATTGCCAATAAATTCCTCACTAAATTCAGAGGTAGGTGTTCGGACACAGGAAATAATCAGGATACAGAATGATAAATTTCAAGGATTACAGGTCCGTCTCAAATTGCGAATGAACACATCTAATTTTATTCTACCCGCGCCCAGCTGGCCTTGTGTCACGCTAAATAATAAACAAAGATAAAACCGGAGTAGACCACGACTAGTCGCTTAACGCTAGGGACGAGGGTTCTTTCAGGGGGGACCCCTTGTCATGAGCACCTATTGGAATTTAAGCCCAGCCCTAATCTGAAGTGAAACTCCTACCTACGATTTATCGCTAAAGATGCTGGGAAAGTGATCGGTTCTTTGTACTGCACCTGCAAGTGCCTGATTCCTATGATACCCTCGACCTATACAAGAGCGATATCAAACCGAAAATGGAGTACTATTGACAAATATGGGCTGTAACTATCCAGTCTTTACTTTCCAGTTTTGATAAAGTCTAATAGTGTTTCTGCGTCCTTTTGGATAATGAATTATTTTCCACCTTACCATCATTTTCCCCTGAGTCGAAACGTCATAAGCCCCTTGCTGCTCTGACGCTATATCCATGGAAAATGTTCAGATGAACTACATTCATTAGTTGCACCAG